GGGCATATAAATCCAAAATCCCCAGTAAGTTCCTTCTTCCCTCACCCCCATAGCCCACATCCAACCCGCTATGTCTCAGCTGAGCAGAAGCAAGCGACAGCCCAACTGCCAAAGCAACAGCATCCGAGCCCAGAAAGGGTTTGGATGGTTAAGGAAGACCCACAAGAAGATCTCCCCACTTAGCAAGTAAACACAGAGGTTTAACAAACCTAGCAGGCATAAGTGGTACTGCTGAACATTAATTAGGAAAGCATCTCGGAAATAGAGGTGATGCCTCTAATTAAAATTCACAAGCTCAGAACTGGATAAAGAAAGGACTAGGGGAGAGATGAAGTATCTGAACTAAAAAACAAGTTGACAAACTGGAAGGAGGGAACAACCTTCAGAAGGCAGAGCTTTGGATGAGAAGATGGAAGATAGAAAATACCACACAAAGGCAAGGCAGCAGAAGGAGAAAGACAGATGACACAGAGTGAGAGTAAAATGAAGCTTTACCAAAAAAAAGTTGAATGCATTTATAGGGTACGTTACACTGTGATATATGCTACATTGACAAGATATTTTAAATAAGAAAAAGTAAGGAGTGAGAAACCACAAGGACAGAAGAGGGAAAGAAACAGAAGGAGGTATCTGTACATATATTTGCATCCATATCAGGAGCACACAAAGATTACAAGCCTATGATTTTGGCAATTCCTTTTACACTATGAATGCAGGTGAAAGTGATGAAAAACTAAATTTGTGACCCAACAAATGAAAGGATATATTGCTATCCCATCTCAGCCAGAAATCATGCAATCTTTACATCTATTTACACCACAGCGTACAGTCAACTGACTTAAAATGATGAAGCAACATAGTATCAATATATCCAGACAGAGAAAATTAGCTAAAACTTAAATAAGGTGGTCTTTCCAGCTCTAATTCACAAAGCTGCCCCTGTAGAAGGCACAGCTGCTTCGGGCTGCGGTTACACAGCAACTTTATTCCCACGTGAACCTGGGCTGCCACTGCACAGTCTTGCTTTTCCTCTCCCTTCTCAGGTACTCATCCCTCCTACCCCTCATGCTAGCAGCAGCACTCGTGCAGCCACGCAAAGAGCTGGATCAGGGAATGGATTTATCCAAAAATTATCCCTTTTTGGGAGAAGAGTGGGGGAAAATTTGATTTCAGGCGGGTAAATTCCCTAATCCACATGGCTCTCCCATCCTTGTGCTCCTACAGGGAGACAGTAGAAATAGTTGGCAAGTGGAGCTGGCCCTTCAGCAGCAGTCCAGACTTCAGAACAAAGTAAAACAGCCATGTAACCACAACCTCATTCTTGCTGGCAAAACATGAAAGTAAAGAAATTTTTAAGAAGACATTTCAGAATACATTATCAAAACTGTAAAGGCACACAAAGCTGTTTTGAAAAGCAGGCCTTCCCTGTGATAACGTTCAAGGTAAAGCAACCATCACCTAACAAGTTTAAAAAGCCTATAGCATACAAATACATTATAGACATACCAAGTTGTATTAAAATGTGGATCATAACAGAGCACTTTACAACTTTGCAGACACGTGCACACACACAAAAGGAAAGTATGCCTCTGTCCTGGCAAACTAAGGGCAATTTCAGACTACTACGTGTGACTTCTTTACTACCACCAATCAAATAAGGCAACCTGGAAACCCAAAGTAAAATATATGAGAATTGCCAACACCTCTGATAAATTCAGCTATTCATAATCCAGTTGGCCCCTGGAAAAAAAAAAAAATGAACTTGCTGCCTAAAAGCAGCCAGGTGCGGATAGAGTGAACAAGTACTTCTAGCCATAGAGAAACCCTGAAGGATTTCTGGTTTGCAGCAACAAAGCCTACATTTACCTTGCAGGGGGAAAAACCTCTTTCTCCATCACAGTTGCAGAAAGACAATCTTTTTATAGTAATGCCAGCACAGATCTACCACATGAAAGGATATGGTAGCTTTAGTGAGCTACAGAAGATAAACATATGTCACGCCTAAAACTGAGCCAATGATCCTAAAAGCATCCTGAATCACTTGTTCCACAAATTCCCCAGTCACTAAGTATGAAGAAATGTAACACGAAGAGCCAAATAGAGATTATAAACACAGAAATGTATTTTTAAACCTATTTGCTAACACATTTCAAAACACGTTTTTTATTATAGTCTTGTCAAGTCATGAAAAGATTCTTCAGTTTTACTGCTACTAAGCTGCTGCAGAGAAGAGAAACACAACACAGTTTGTGAGACTGCAATGGATATTTGATTATTTTTTTTTAATAGATTAGAATTTCACATTGTGGCAAAAGTCATCCAACTCCCAGGAAAGCTTTCCACTCAACTACCAGCGCATAGTTTTGTCAAGTCCCAGGTATGCTTTCCACAAGCAAAACATGTTGCCTTTTCTTCCCGGCCTCCAAGAACTAAATCTACATCCTTGCACACAAAATGCTGTGTTATCACTCAAAAAGATGACATATTTTAGATTTAATTAAACATGGTGGTTTTGGTTATGTACAGCCCTCAAGGAGATGAAATATCTGCAGAGGGGCTAGAAAAAAAGTAGTTACACCCATATGCCTCAACCCTGACCAAGAGGAATCCCATTGGAATAAGCAGTAGATCAGTCTTCGTCCTCTCCAAATGAAGAGAAATTAAAGCAGTGCTCAGTTTTGCATAAAGATATCAAAGCTATTGGAATGGCAAGTATGCTTATGATCTGGTGGGCTGCCAAAAATCATCTGCTAATATACTAGACAATAGATGCATTCTGCTAGAACTCCTAAGAGAACTTTCTGATCTTTTCCTTGTATCACTTCTTTTTATACAAAACTGAACTGGAATGATAGAAAAAAAATGTAATTAAGTTTTAAATCCTATATAAATAAAAGGGGTTTAAGTATTGCATATGTGATTTGAATGCTTGCATTCAGATGCTAACAAATACAGTAATTATTTGTAATAATTTAACATTTTAAAATATGCATTCTTAATCACTAACTTGCAAACCATGTACTCAGTTTCTTGCTGCCACTGCAGCAGCTGAGTTTTGTAGAATTCAGAGCAGCATAATACAAGAGCAGTAAGTTATACCCTTGCAGTGCCTAGAAGCTCCAACAGTGCTCCAAAAGGATCCAAACTCTCTCAAGTCTTGATAAACAAACAGCATTCAGTTAAAATTTAATACTTTTGGATAACAGCAGGGTGCTTTCTATAAAAATAACTCTTCGTTCCAGAGACAAAAAGATCCTGTGTGTGGTTCCAGCAAGCATTGCTTTCTGGAACACTCCGGAATCACGGTGGCTGCATATCCTGAATACAGTCATAAATACAAAAGTAATGGGATGACGAGGTTGACACCCAACTTCTCACACGAGTGTCACACACTGACCAGCGCACTTTCAAGACTACCAAGTCTCAAAGACCAACTCCTCCTTCACAGCTAGATGCAATTAAAAAGCCTCTGCATCACAAACGAGGATCTTTTTTTTGTTTGTTTGTTTTAAGCTAATGTTTTTAAGCAAAAAAAATCCCCTGATCTCTCTTATTCTGTTATCTGATATTTGAACAAGTCATTGACATGGTGGAGCTGTCATATCCTATCACATCACTCCATGTTTAAAGAATGTTTAATCTGTAAATCCACACAGTGATTCTGCAAATGCAGATCGCTTGCAACGAGAATGAACAGAGACGACGTAGGTTTAGTGACCATGTTAGTGAACTAAATATATTAACACAATTTCTTAATCCATAACATTAAAATTTATCAATTAACTGTAGAAATTAAATTACATTAAAGAAAAATATTTTATGCCAGCATTTTCACATGTTTTCCTGGTTTTGTATCCACAGGCTAATAACACTTACGACATCTTTCAGCAAAATACAGACGTAAGTAATTATAAGCTCCTGAAAAAATAGGAAATCCTAACAAAACCTGGGCAGGAGCAGCAGTACCTGGTCTAGATGTTCTAAAAATAAGCTTCTGTCTAAGAGGAAAAACTCCTTGGATCAGTCTGTTACTTATTACTCAGCATTTGCTAGTTAAACACTGCACAGACACTAATTTTAATCTAAGGAAATGAATGCTGTGATCTTTCCCATACAAAAAAGCGTTTCAACACCCACAGAATAACAGGGGAGAGAAGGCTCAAGCCTCGACAACCTGATTTATGAAGAGAGGACACTGTGAGAGTGAGACAAACAGTATGTCATCTGTCAAAGTTGCCACATTTGCATTTTATATACAAATACAAAGCAAGAAATCTCATTTAAATAATTAACGGGTAGACTATACACTGCCAAAAGGAGCAGGACAGAAGTGAACTCACTGCTGAATATTTTACGGAAGAACCAGCCCAGAAATTGATCTTCTCCAAATGGAATGATTAATCCTCCATATAATGCCAGGTATCCACTACCACAGTATTTTGTTAAAAGCAAACTTTTAACTTCAAGAGAAGCAATCACATTAGGGAAAATGAATGACAAAAACCCCACAAGTGATGTCATGTGGATTTTCCCTATGGATCTTAACCTGTACAAAGTTTTAAATTACAAATGCAAATATCTTCTTGTAAGTTTCTGGTTAAAAATACAATCTATTTAAAAGTGCTGTTCAAAGCTAACTCTAGCGAGACATAAATCATCAGTGGTTTTAAAACATTTTAATAATTTTAGCAGCCTCTTATAACTGGTAAATCAAAGTCTCAGTCTATTATACAGAGAAATATTGCTGAAAAGACCAATGCTTTTTGTATGCTGTTTGTGACTATTTTTTTTTTAACATTTCCCCCATTGAAGAGAAGAAAAAATGGTTTGCATTGTGTTAGCTCCAGTTATAATTTCCAGCTGTGTCAAAACTTTAACAGCCTAAAAGCAGGAAATCCAAAGAGGAAATTCCATCGTCAGTTCCTGAAGTTTTGTAACTCAAATGTTCTTCCAAAAACTGATCTTAAAGGAATTTTTGGTAGCATTTTCTGTAACCTTACCTGATATCTTCAAGTAGCTCACATTCTGCTTGATGCTTGGCCTGAAGTTTTGTCATCTGCTCAACCTGAATGTTTTTTAGCTCTTGTGTAACTTTCACCTACAAAAAAACCACAGACCACACATATTTTCTGTAGAGTTTAAGTCAAATTTCAACAAGAACACAAAAAATAATGCATGTCCTTCATCTATTTTGAAATTGCACATTTCAGTGGAAAATTCGAACACACAGCAAAGAGTGCAGTTTAACCCTATGCAACATTCATAAAGGCTGATCTCAATAAGTCCTGTCACCCCAAGCAGGATTACAGAGCACACGACAAGAATCCTATGCTTAGGCTCAACCACTAGCGAAAGTGCAATTTTATTCCAAAATCTGGGAGGGTAGCTGGTGTGCAACAGGAGTTTTGCCTACCAAAAGAGAAAAAGCAGGCCTCAGAGGGGAAAAAAAATCAACTTACAGTGTATACATTTAGCACTTCAGTGCAAGTCACACAATTCTGAAATTCATTAACCTGTCCTACAATTGCTATCAGTTAAAGATAGCTGAAACATCAAGTTGTTTTTGATTGTGCATCAGATCAAAAGAGCCCTCTATAAAAGGCTTCAAAATGTTTTTAGTATTGGTGTAATTCTCCTTTGAACCTTGTGATGATGAAGCTAAAAGTTGAATACTTTGGGAATCTACCTGATAACTGGCAGGTAGCACCATTGGCACAGGTATATGGAATGATTCGATTTTGGAAGGAAACCTTGGGGTCGTTTTGTTCTTGTTTTTACAAAACAAGAGGTCTTGGCATTTAAGCCCTCTAGTGATCACAGGGAATCCATGTATTGGCCTAAAAAAATGATCACCAGCATATCTGAAAACATTATGCATTCATGAGGACAGAAATGCCAAACAGTTACTGTAATGGGGGGAGAGAAATGAAAAATTCGGAGAGGAAGACGACACAGATCTCCCTCTTCTTCGTTAGCCAGGCAAAAAAAATCTCTATCTCATCAGCTAGGAAAAGCCTCCTCGATATTAACATTGAAAACAGTCCCCCAGCAACAAACACCCTTTAATCACAGCATTATATAAAGATAAGTTTTTCACATGATTAAAAAAAAAATAAATCACATGCTCGCCCCTGACTTTAAGCAGAAAAAGTGTCTATTTTTAATATGAACTTTCAGCATTTTCTTTTTTATTTGTGTATGAAAAAAACCCTACTCAAAATAAATAAACCCACACAAGATGACCCATGTAATGGAAATAATCTCAAATGAAACAATATAGGCAAAGAATGACAAACATGTAATATAAATAAGCCGCCAAATGCAAACTAAAATAGAAATAAGAATTGTTTAACAAAAGCTGAGTCCAGCAGCAAAACAAGAGGTCGAGAGGCAGGAACCAGCCAAGGAGAGATCTTCACTGCAGCTGCCTGCCAGGGCTACTGGGGAGCTCGGGAGATGACAAGGGATTTCTGTTTACGCTCCCTCTCAGTCTTCCTCCCCTCCCAATCTCTCCTAGTCACTATTATACAGTTCACACAGCAAACCCCTGCAATCTCCTCTCCTCACTGAGAAATCTCAACATCACGTATGAAATCTCAAGCATCTACGGCGAGCTACGACAATCAGGCTGTAAATGATAACAGCCCAAACCACCTAATCGGCCAGCATCGCAAAGAATATATAACATGTACAAATCTCAAAACCACGAAACTCCCTTCCACAGTGCCTGTAAAGGAGCAGCCTCTCCATCCTGAGACCCACTTCACCGTCTCTAGCTCCCCCTTTCTCCCCACACACCGACCACGGCACACAACCCTCAAAATAACTAACCAATAAATCGCCATGTATTGGTACTTAAACGTAGCTCAAGACCCCCACTACAGCTCAAGTCTTCCAGATAACAACCTGCCTACCCAGGCACACTAGGAACAGCCTTTCCCCCCCCCC